GGGGGGAGTGACAGCACTGTGTGGGGCTGCCAGGAAGCATTGTCATGGCAACACAAACACCCGTGTGGCGCAGCCTCCTGCCAGCTGTCAGCCGCGTGGGGTGCCCAGCACTGGAGTGGGACAGGATGGGGAGGTAACGAGGCCTAGTGATGGGGAGATGAAGCTAGCTCTGGGGTGGGGCAGCTGGGGAATGGCCGAGTGTAATGGTGTCCAAGCTCTACAGCCAGCTTTGTAGAGAACCTAGGGAACAGCCAAATATAAGGCTGCAGGGAGAGGGCAAGATGCAGCTAACTCTGGGGAGAATGGCTGGGGCCTGGCTGGGTGTAACAAACCAAGATACACCCAGCTCTGGAGGGGAAATGCTGGGTATAACAAGCTGGTATTCACCTAGCTGTGGGGTGGAGCCTCTGGGGATATGGCTGAGTGTAACAGACTGGGATACAGCCAGCTCTGGTGGGGCAACTGGGAATGTCTGAATATAATGCTGCAGGGTGAGGGCAAGATACAGCCAGCTCTGGGGGGAATGGCAAGGGCCTGGCTGAGGAAAAGGGGCTGGTATTCACCCAGCTCTGGGGTGGACTCAGGGGGGATTGGCTGAGTATAACAGGCCAGGATGCAGCCAGCTCTGGGATGGGGAGGCTGGAAACAGCTGAGTATAACAGTGCCCAAGGAATGGGCCAAGATGCAGCCAGCTCTGGGGTAGGGAGGCTGGAGAATGGCTGAGTATAACAGGCTGGGATGTGGCCAGTTCTGGGGTGGGACAGCTGGGAATGGCTGAGCATAATGGTGCCCAAGGAATGTGCTGAGGTGCAGCGAGTTCTGGGGTGGAGTCACTGGGGAATGGCTGAGTATAACAGGCCACAATGTGCCCAGCTCTGGGGTGGGGAGGCTGGGAACAGCTGATTATAACGGTATTGGAGAAGATCTTCCCGGGCAGGACAATGCGCCTGGTTCTAAGGTTGTGGAGGGGGGCAGGTCTTGTGGGGAGTTCCCAGTTCCCATGGTAACAGCAGGGGGCCCCCTATATGTGGCTTTGTTACTAATATTAGAGGCCCCCCTTGCCTAACTAATTACAGGCTGGAGCCCTGTGAGTCACAGAGCAGCTGTTGAAGGTGAGGAGGGCAGAAGGACGGGCCCTGTGCACAGGAGACCCAGGCATCCAATACCCCCCGCCCACCCACACATACACAGCGTGCAGAGAACCCAGACATCTAAACCCCTGCCTGCCCCAGTGTTAAACCCCTCCCCCCCACAACATCTCTCTCACACTCTTGCACATGCACATACATATGCTTAGAGAACCCAGGAATCTAACTGACCCCCCACCCCAGGCATGTCATATCCTCCTTCCCCCAGTATCTCTCTTTCTCTCACACACGCTCATGCAAACACACATAGGAGTGCGGGTGTCCGGACCCCTCCTGTCCATATCCAGGCTACCCTGTCAACAGGAAGCAGAGTCAGCTGGGACACAGACTTCCCCTGGCCTGGGAGCCCCCCTCCCCCATCCTGGGTTCTCTGGGAGGGAGGCTGGTGTGGGAGCCTGTATGCCCAGGTTCTCTGGGGCTTGGGAAGTGGGGACAGCAGTGGTCTGGTGGATGAGAGCAGGGGCATTTGGGAGCTTAGATGCCTCCATTCTCTGGCAAGGGCTGTGTGTGGGTGGGGGGAAGCTCCACACCTGGATGCCTGAGATCTCTAGGTGCTGACAGGGTTAAGCCCGTTCTCCACCCCCAGCCTGCTCCTCCCCACCCAGTGCTACCCTTTCCTCCCTGGCCCCAGGGTCATGGACCCAGCCCCAGGACACCTGTGAGTGGGGTGGGGGGGAAGGGCTGGGAACCCAGACACATGGGTTCTGTAGCGGGGAAGAGGGTGCCAGGGAAGAAGGGCAGGGGGCTAGGAGCCTGGACACCTGCGTTCTCTGGGCATGGAGTTGGGGTTGGGGTCCCCATATTGCAGGGGGGGGGGCTTCCTATGGTGCCGCCGTCTCTCTGATCCTGCCCAATTCCTACCAGATCCTGAAGGATCTCCCCTGGCTCCGCCTCTCCTTCCAGCTTTGCCCTGACTCCATCTGCTGCTGCCACCTCCCCACTGGATCCCCTGGGATCCCATCCCCATACTTGCCAAAGCACCCAGCAGATCCCCTGGGGAAACCCCCCATGCTGATTCCTGCACCCCCCACTACTGCCTTGTGCTGGATCCCATCCAATCCCAAGGGATCCACTCCCTCTTTGCTCTCTGCCTGCATCTCTCCTTTCCCTCACCAGATTCTCCTGGACCCTACTCTACCCTTCCCAAGTGTCTCCCTCTCCCTCCCTGTATCCTGAGGGATCCTGCCAGATCCCCGGGGATCTGCTGCCACACTGCCTTCTGCTACCCACCCCCTTGCCAGATCCCACCAGATCCCAGGGTATCTGCTTCCTCTCTCTGCCCCTGGAAGCCTTCCAGATCCCTTGGGATCTCAGTGGATTTCCCCCCTCCCCTTCCTTTCTCTCCATCCCTTTGTCTGCTCCTCCCTCCCTCCCTCCCGCCCCCCGTGGCTCTGTCTGTGGCTGTGTCCCTCCCCAGTGCCCCTCATGCGTGGCCCTCGTGCAAGCCCCTCCCCCCTTGCGTGCCGTGCTGTCCTCTTGCTATCTTGACTTTGTGTTTTTTTCTTCTCTCCCTTTCCCTGTCTCTGTTGCTGGCCACCACCACCTGCCTGCCTGCCCTTCCTCCGATCTGTCTGTCATACCCCCACCCCCACTCCATCCCTGGTGTACACACTGGCCCCACACACCCCCAACAACCGCCCACCTGTCCATCTCTGTATCAACGTGTCCATCCATCCACCCTTATTTGAACCCATTCATCCAACCAATGAACCATCCATCTGTCTGTCCATCAACATCTCTGTCCATTCATCTACCAATTAATCGCCCATCCATCAACTCTGTCGATCTGTCTGTCCCTTCATTCCTCCATCCATTCTCCCCATTTCTACACGTTCATTGGCCCCATGCACACCCTCCATGCATCCAACCAACCTTATGCGCATGATTTCACTATGCGTGTGTTCATCCAACCAATGAACCAATCTTGTATGAACCTGCTCTATCCAATTCCTTATGCACCCCTCTGAAAATCTACCCACCCAATCAACCAACCAATTAACTATCCATCCCTATTCATGGAATCCAACCAATCCCACACCCATCCATTCCTCCATCCATCCATCTGTGCCATCTGTCTACCCACCCATCTACCTAACCAACAAATGATACATCCACCTGTCTGCCTATCCATCCAACCAAACAAATAACCCACAAACCTTCCATTCATCCACACAACCCCACTGCTCTATCCCTTCCATCTTCTACACTTCCACTGCTTCTAACATACCCTCCATCCATCCACCCAACCTCACACACATCCATCCAATCAACTTATCAACTACAATCTTTCCATCCATCTCCATATTCATCTGCCCAACCAAACCCATCTCCATCCATCCAACCGCCCATCCAATCAGTAAACTATCCATCCACCCTTCCATCCATCCAACCAACCATTTACCCTTTCTTTCATCCATCCATTCTCTTTACTGACCCACTCACCTAACCACCTATCCAACCAACAAACTATCACCCACCATCCATCCATTTACTTTTCATCCATCCATCCATTCATCCACCCGCCCATTGTCTGTCTGTCTGTCTGTCTGTCTGTCTGTCCCTCCACCTGATCTCCTGGGTCCCTGCCCCCCCCTCGCGCTGTCTCTCCACTCTAGGTGCTCGCCGGGTCCCACTCTCCACCAGTTCTGCTGCCCCGCCCCGGCACACCTCCGCTCCCGGCGCTCCTCCCCTGCCCGGCACCCCGAATACAGGTAAGCCCTGGCCCCACCCCACCCCACCTGCCCAGATGCCTGGGTCCTGCCTCAGCTTGGGGATGGGGGAGGGGCCGCTAGGTTACAGCAGGGTGGGGGGCTGAGAGCCCATTTGGGTTCTCTTGAGAGGGAGTGAGGGCTGGTGGGTTAGAGCAGGGGAGGCTGTGACCCCCAGATGCCTCAGTTCTCCAGGAGGAGAGAGTAAAGGTTGGTGGGTTAGAATAGGGAAAGGCTGGGAGCCTGAATGCCTGGGTTCCCTGGGAAGGGAGTGGGGGCCGGTGGCTTAGAGCTGGGAGGGAGCCCGGATGCCTGTTTTTTCCCCCAGCCTTGGGAAGGCACTGGGGGAACTGAGCAGGGATGGGAGCCCTGGAAACCTGAGTCCTCTCCCCACTCTAGAGTTGGAGGGAGGGGTCTGGCGGGTTAGAGCAGAGCCTAGGTCAGGGGCAGGCAATTATTTCGGGTGGAGGGCCACTTACTGAGTTTTGGCAAGCCATTGAGGGCTGCATGACAGGCAGCCAGGGGCCGATAAATATTAATTTTCTAAATTTTTTTAGGGGCCCCGCAGGCCGGATAGAATGGCCTGACAGGCCGCATCCGG